GTCACGTCGTAATCGGACTTGTATGTACGTATTTCATATATATATATAGGGAAATATGTATATGCGAATATATATGTGGGCGTAGACAATGAATATTTTTATTGCTTATAACAACTGGCGTGTTGTAATTTAAATTTTATTATTTATACATTTTTATATTGAGTCATTGGAAAAAAAGCAGTTTAATAATGCAGCAACCCTTTCTATATCATTTCACCCAACTATCTTTAAAAATTTTAATATATAAATAATTAAATGTTTTCCTCAAAGGAACTCATAAAATAGTTATTGACTTTTTTCTTACAATCAAATCCTGTAATCATAAGCAAAATTCTCGCATGTAGGTTAGACGAAGAACATTTCTAAGTTAGAATATGACTCGCAGGTGTGGGCGGAAGCCTCTATAACTTATCTCGACTTTGGGAAGTGTGTTGAAGACTTTCGATATTCTCGAGCATCGATTAAATCTGGGCTGCGGTGCGGTGCTTATGTGTAAGTACAGCCAAGATAAATTTTCTAAAGAGACAAAAAAAGATATATCCATCATTTAAGTCCTTGACCGGCACCTCAAGGCTCTCTCATCGTTCCCACCAACTCGTCCTGCAATTGCCTGCATATCGTATTCAAACACGCTGCCCGCCTCTGAAGCAACCTAAGTGCATTAGTCTTTCCCACCTGGTGCCTGATGTTTCCGCTTGTAAGTCAAACGTTCACCGGCACTACTCCCTCTTTCCATCCCTCTGTACCTAAGAGTCTTCGTCGAAGATCACCATCGTGCTTGCACGCATAGCGCACATCCTCAGAGTGACTGACTACATATAAAAAAACCAAATAAACCACATTGAGTGAGAGACTTTGGACGGCCTTTGGGCCGGTAGTTCAATATAGCCGCACTTGCCACACGGGCTGGGAAATAATGGCTATATTGGATAAGGAGAGGCAAGTTAGATAGCAATATACGAAAAATTTGAAATTTGCCTGAACATTAAGTTTATCATAAATATTTACGGAAACTTTTAAAAAGTACAGTCTGTGGACTGACTGATACCGAACCATTTTCTTTTCCATTTGTTTTCCTCACCAAATCGTTTCATCGCTATCACATGCCTTAGCCTCTTCAATAACTCGAGGTTTCAAGTCATTTTTATTGCTCACACATTCTTCTTCTACTAACTTGCGTTTTTGAGCTTTGTTTCCCTTTGCTTTGATTTGTGATGATTTATGATTTCCTTGTACTCAGTCACACAGTTCATTTCTCATTACTGAAAGTTGGAGAGATGATTTTAAATTGCAATATCGTAAGTTTTCTATATAATCTATTGGGCGACATGTAGTTGATCTCGTACTCGCTTTATGAGATGATTTAAACGTGCGAAAGGTGAGTAAGGAACTTTGTAATGCATTTGCTCTACGCAGGAATTTTAATAGTGTTGCATAATCCGTAAATTCTAGATTTTTGAAATGTTATTCGAGAAATAGAACGATCCAAATAAACACTTTTTTGAATATGTTCTATTGCTGTTACAAAACTCAAGACTTTTCCAAGTTCGTATATAACATCATTTTGAATAAATATCTTGGAAAGCGTTTTTTTTTTTTTTTTGATAGCAACAATGTATTTAATTAACTGCCAGAGTATTATATAATTGTAAAAGAAATGTCTGTGTAACAAGTATTGCATGCTCCTGCCTATCATCTAAGAAAACAAGGCCATGAACTGTTTGCCATCGCTTGCTTGTACACATACTATATATCATAAATTTTATATAGTTATGCGTTAATTAAAACTTGCATCGTCTGGCGATTATTGTAAAAATTTCCAAAATTATTTATTTATATTGTATTCTATTCATATACAGTAGTCGCCCCTATAACGCGGTAGATTGGTTCCGCATTGTGGGAAAACCCGTTTTATAGAGGTATTCCCATATAATGGATTTTTACGACCTCGTCTAACGCGTTACGCATAAATGATTCATCACATTTAACCGATCTCGAATAATAGGAAAAAACTATGTTATGAACGAAACATGTACTTTTTATTAAAATCACAATTAACTAAGAACATTTCAAATAAAAAAAAAACTTATATGCATATGAACTAAAAAGAACACTTAATTTCAAATAAATGAACAATTTCATTCCTCGTTTATTCACTGTTTATTACTGATTTAATGATTGTTGTTTTTCCAGTCATGTCTGTGCATTAGACTTTAATTAATTTAAAACAATCATAGGTGGGAAAATGTCAGATAAAATGCTTATAAATGAAATTAAAGCAAACATTATAAATAAAATATCAAAGTATTAAAGATCATTGATTTTAATCCCTTTTGCTGCATTGAGCCATGTTATGTTATATCATTTAAAGGATTTCGCTTCACTTAATCCAGAATTATACGCACACGCGCAAGTATTTATATGTGCCCGCAAATATCAATCAAATGTGTATATAAATACATGTATATATACATGCTTTATAAGTTGTATATATGTTTAGATATTAATAGCATTTACATATAAATATATATATATATATATATATCAAGTTAGCCAGCAACAAACAAACCAATCAATCAAATGGTTTTATGTGGATCGTAACGAATAATTTGTTTGTTCAAATTAACCTAACTTCACATATCAATCAATCTGCGGAATATTTTATTTCTTTTGTTCATCATATCATTGAGTTATTCGAGATTTTATAATTAGAAGCGTGTTTTGATTTATGACTTCTCTCAATACCAAGTATTGATATATCACGTTAATAGCTTGTTTAAGCCCTTCTATTAAAGTTCTCAATAGCATTTAGGTATAGCTTAAGTGACTTTTTCTTTTTCTCATTAATACTTTGCTGCTCTTACATCTCTACTCTCCGTTGTCGAGGTACACACTTATCATTAAGATTAAATTAAACGATAGACTTAATATTTCAATATAAGTTCGGTAAAATATTTTCTTAAACTTTTACTTCATCTAGAATTGTCTAAAATTTTGATATTCGCCAACGTAGGTTGGAGTTATATACTAGACATATACGGCCATTTGTCACATCACTATGAAACATTCGTTAAAGACTTTAGACAGAAAGACAAAGAGAGAAAGACAAACGCATGATTCAGATGAACATGATTAAGTCGATTCTGAATCTCATGCAAATGAAGGCTACACATATACACACTCTCTTTCTTTCTGTCTATTGTTGAAATTCCTACGATTGTAAAAATTAAGATAAAAAGTTAAAATTTTTAGTTATATTCTTTTAGCTGTTAGCTCAAAGTCGAGTTTGAAAGTGTGCGATTGACAAAAAGTAAAATAATGCATCTTAGCTGACGTGTCCTCGCAATGCATAAGAGAGATAATGACTTGTAACCCTTAAGAGATTTTCATTTCAAAGCCCAAGCAGATTTTTTTTAGAGGTTACGTTGTATGGACGATGGACTTCAAAGCAAAGACGAGGACACTTTAGGTTATCGCCAATAACCCGCAACCTAGATCAGGTGCTAGAGTCATCAAAGTATTGTTAAGTAAGAAATGATCGCAAAACGAGCCATATTATCATTTAGGTCCATTGTATGCGCATAAATAAGTTATTACATAATGCACTTATATATAGGTTTGAAGTTAAGAAACCAAATATCTTGAAAAAATAAATGGCCGAGAATCGTTAATTAGACATTATGTGGGCTAAGACCGAGATTTGTAGCTGTCATAATGATCGAACCGAAACCATTAAATCTGTCGTTTGGTCGACATGAAAAATGACCGACTCACCAGAAAGAGGAAAGTCTTTCGAATTAAAGCCTGAGAAGAGACTTGCGCCTAGCAAATAATTAAGTACGTTATGTATAGGTGATATTGGACTCGGTTAATGGTAAGTATGTGTTAATGATTTGTTCTGCTACGGCCAAAGCCCGTAATTAACGACCTCTTGTTTTATTTCTTGATTGATTGCGAAATTTTTTGTTCTGTGCAGACGTAATATGGGTTTTATTATTACTTTTTTTGCACGGTTTTTTTGGGAAAATGTTTGGGCTTTCCTGACCTTACACGATTTTTTTAAACCTGTGGAACATACACCCAAATTTACCATATGTCACGTATTTTTTACACAATTTTCTTCTATACGGTTATCTAAAAAACGTATTTACCGTGTAAGAGAAGAGAGGATGTATATAAAAACACGTTTTTTCTACTCATTCACCTTCAATACTTTCTTGAAGAGGCGGCATCAAGTTTAGCTTTGACGTAGCTCCCACACCAAGGTTAATACGATTGAACTGTGCATGGATCTGATATTTTTCTTAATTATTTTCCCGAACTATCTAAATATTTAATAAGAAAATATTCTTAATTCATCCCCTAGCGCATATATATCATAAATCAAAGATACTGCAATTTAAAACTATTCACATTAGATGAGATTCATATTGAAAAATCGTTAGTTCATTTCTTAAAGGAAAAGAAAAAAAGAAAAAAACACTTAGGTAAATATACATAAGTATCTGTATTCAAAATAAATTATTTATGTTGTTCTAGAGTATACGCTTGAATTGAAATGTGAAATTCTTTCTTATGTCAACATCCTTCAATTTCATTTAAGGATTTTAGATGTGCATACGTACACGTGTATATGCTTGCTTAAATGTTTACGTATTTGTTTACTCATGGCATAGGCGTTTTTGAGCACATTTTTATGATACAATTATTGATACATTTCAACACGTTGTATAAATATTTACTTAAACGATGCGATTGTGTATTCGTGTGCGTGTGTCTGCTTGTGGCTTTGTGTTTGTGTATAAATATATATATATATATATATGTTTATATATGTATATATGTACAAAAAATTATCAAAACAAAAACAAATTTGAACCGCAAACGTGATTCTAATCCGAGAAACAAAGAAAGTAGAGTCAAATATGTAACGAAAAAAAAAAAAAAAAACAAAAACAGAACTAAATAAAATAAATGAAAAGAGGAAAAAAAACTCGTACCTTTCATGTTCTTTTCCCGGAGTCAGCTGTTGATGTTGTTGGTGTTGTTGCTGTTGATGATGCGTATGTTGATGCTTATCCTTATTTTCATGTTCATGTCCCTTCATCAATTTGACATCGTTCTTATTTTCTTTATCTCTCTCCACATGCTTGTCTTGGTTTTCCGTCATATTTGCTAGCCCAGTAATACTTCCTTTCTATTATTGAAGATATTCTTGAAATTTGCTTGAAACGAATGTTGAAATTAATCAATTTTTAATTTTTGCTTGTATGTTCCCCCTTGTACGTTTTAATACCAAACACTTTTCTTGTCTTTTGTCACAATTTTGCCGCTTTTTGTTTTCTCTTCTCTTCTACTTTTTTTTTTTTTTTTTTTTGTTTTATTTTTCTTATCCACATCTATAATAAATGATTTCAGTTTCCTTGACTTTTGACGGATTTTCACTTTTTTCACTGCATTTTGTCTCTTTTCGATGTTGTTGTGTTTGCCCGCTTCATTATTAACATTAATTACATGCATCCCAGAAAGGACATCTTTTCAATTTTATTCATTATGTTTATTATTTTCTTAAAACTTGCTGCCTCCAGAGATGTCTCTGAAATAAAAGAAAATAAAATAAATAAATAAAAAGGAACGAATTCTTCGTAAACTTAATTTTTATTATTTTGCATGCAGTACATTACTAAAATATATATATAATATATATGTATAAAATTCAACTTTCCCTCATTTAAAGAATCATTTATTACAATTTTTTCTTTTTTTTTTTTCTGAATTTTATAATTATTTTGGACCCTAATCTCTTATGCTTATAATCAATCCGATCGTATATGCACATAACTTCAGTGTAGGGGTACAAAAAGGTAGACAAGGAACATTGCATTTTTTTTCCCTTGCGCATAATTTTACTCTATCGATCCATAATACAATGAATTTGCCTTTTTGCGCATTTCATAAATACTTTGATTATTATTAGCATCTCTCAGATTTTCAGTTACTATGAAAGTTATAAAAAAAAAAAAACAAGCAAAAAAGCAATAGTGGGCTACGTTCCACAATTAAATGCCCTGCGTCATTCTACAGCTAGTCATAAAACGACTTTTCATTGTTAGGCTTTATATGGGAAGTGCTCCTATCCGAAACATTTTCAATAGCGTTCATCCTTTGACCAAGATACGTTAGTCTGGCGTAGTAGGTCCTTAAAAATATCTCAAAATCTATCAATGAGATCATTAACTATTTTATAAAAAGCCAGCTATAAACCCTACATATCGATCTTAGTTAGTGTCTTCCAATTATGTTACGGATCTGTCTCTTTCTCTCTTGTCAATATTAATGATATCGATCTCTTAACGGCTCTTAATTTAGTTAAATCCATCGCTACAGGAGTCAATGGAATCTTTATTAAGTTAATTAATCTTATATTTCTATTTACTTCACAGCATTTACTGCATTTCATAAATAATATCCGTACTACCTCACACAAGTTCGCCAGGAGTGGAAAATAGTCAACATAAGAGTATTACAGGAGCATGGATATTCATTATCTTTAGACAATTTACGGCCAACTAGTATTCTGCTATCTTCTTTCCAAAATTGTAGAACATATCATGAAACTGCAAATCGAATTGTATTATTATGATCGGCGTCCGCAATTCACGAGTCCGTTTGGGTTTCGTGCTCACCGTAACAAATTCGTTCTCTTGTGAGTTAATTATAGAAACTCTTTACCATAATAAAATCTCTATATTTATCTCATTGGGCCTTTCAAAGGCCTTTCATAGAGTCCCTTACCCATCACCTATTGAAAAGCTTTATCACAATTTCAACTATTCTAGGTGCGTATGTAACGTTATGCAATCTTGTCTATTCAATCGCAAGCAATTCGTTTCCATTAACAATCTTTCCTCTGGGCTAGTTAGTTAAGTCTTTTTGACATTTAAGGGTTCACATTATCTAAGAATTCTTATATGCTTTGATATCTAATAGTAGACCTACGTGGTCCAAATATGGTAAGGTGGATTGCTTCGCCAACTTACTATTTTAAAGCAATTTTCACCACGAAATATTGAAGATTATACATTTTTACCATATAAAGATTTAGCCTTGGTAGGATCGGTTACATGGCAAGGGCTTAAAAGAATTTCAATTTAGTGAGTTTAGTCGAAAGATTTTGCGAAAAAAAAATAAGACGTTTTATGAGGAGTGCTAAAAAAACTGGTCCGGATCGAACCATCTTTAACAGGACTCGTCCTTGGGCGAAAAGACATAAGTGTATCCAATTTCATTAAAATTCATCAAAAGTTGCAACCTGTCGGTTGTATATAAAAATACATGAGCAGACAAGCTTAGCTTCAGAATTATTTTCTGAATCGAACGGTATAACAAAATGGGGGGTCTATCGGAAGCCGTTCTGTGTGTTATATACGACACGCGATATCGGATATGAGAAGATAGAAACCCTCTTAATGCATTTTCCCCTAATCATTGTATGTGATTTAGCTAAAGTCTAAGCAACGTGGATTTTTGGGACATTGGAAATGTCCTTTCACCAATACCATTAAAACACTGCATACGAAGGAGATTGATTTTTTGATTTCATTAAAAAAAAAAAAGGTCCAGCACAAAATCATTGATTGATGTCGGTAATTATATACTCAACTGACAAAAATACATGAGTAATTGAGTCATGGGAGATCTGTAGGCGTCTGTAGGCGATTTATTGAAAACGTTGCTCAATGAGCAAAGTTATGTTAAATCGAAGAAGAAGAAGTCCGAAAATGTGTGTGGATGCTTGTGTGGTTGTTAACTTGCCCCCGAAAACCGTTTTAAACGTTTAAATGGAAAGGGAAAGACATAAGACGTGTCAACGACAAAGTGAAAGAATTATGAAGTGTTTCACAATAACGTCTACGGTATTGGACAAATATTGCTCTCTTTGACTCACATTTTGTCTACCATAGACAATGCTAAGCCATTGTTGTGACCATGTCAAAAATGAGGATAACCTCAACAACAATTCAATAAAATTAAAGTTAAAATGAATAAAAGATAAATGATTGCACCCTCTTGCCCTGCATACGGAAGTCGTTGGAGAGTCGCTTCAAGGTGTGTATAGGTTTTTTACTTATTTATTTGTTTTTTTTTTTTTTTTTTTTTGTTTTTTTAATATTATTTCAAACTATACACCTGCGTTACTCTCCGTATTTACTTATTAATTATATTTAGTTTTCTTTTTATTACAGACCAACAATAATATTGAAATGTTTTTTTTTTCATTTTATTTTTTATTTATATATTTTTTTTTTTTTCACATACGCTTTGAATATTGATCAAGGACATTTTTTCAACACAAGTATAATGCTTGTGTATTGCAAAAGTCTTTCTATTGGTTTTAACGGTTCACTAAAAATGTACAATTTATGTGTCATATGCATACATGTATATGCATATACTTCCCTTGCATATATATATATATATATATATATATACCCATATATGGATGTTACGTTTAAATATTGGAATTAACCTTTTAAACACGCGGACAGGATATTGCGGTAATCTTTTATGATATTTTTACTAAGCAGAAATTTCTTTCTTGAAGGTATCCGCTTCAGTGTCACAGAATGCTAAAGAAATAAATATTTAAAAGCGTAATAGATATTTCCATTTTTATTTATTTATTTATTTTTTTTTCATCGGAGATAAATAGTAAAGTGACTTACTATAGCGATTGTAAGCTTGTGCTTTAACAAATACTATTTTTGTTGATTAATATTTGAAAGGACTTTGCTTAATGTGAAAGCAAATAAATTGTTTACACTCCAGGTAATAGTCATGAAGGAAACTTGAAGAGCGATGCCAGGAAGTATTACAACTGTAAATAGAACCGAAATGAAAACAGAGTACAATTCATGCGCGACATAATTGACAAGTTCATGGTCATGCTGTGATCAGCATGGCTCTCTTCTATGATTACATGAAAAGGTTGATCGATTACTTAAAGACATGAACCGATGAATTTTGTGGCAGACCAGAACTAAGTCCATAAAAAATTTGCTCCGCAAAACATTGTAAATTGCTCTCGGGTCACACTTTCTCTGTCACATACATAGCGTACACGCGTGATATACAGCGTTCTGGGAGATTGCAAAGCATTTCTGCGATCGAGACCTATTGGAATTTCGCCATAGAACTATGCCTAAATTCAATATAATGCGGTCGGATGCAACAATCATTCCGATCGTAACCATCTGTTCAGAAGCATTCGTTCGCGAACTGATCAGCTAGATTCGCTCGCTTGCTTGTTGTGGTTTCGACAAGAATGCTCCAGCATTAATTGCCATTTACCAAAAGACTTGACTTATGAACGGAGGCTCTTAATGGAGAAGTTTATATATGCATAACATTTGCACCCTATAAACTAAGGGCAATATATAAATATTTTTGCCATTGACTTATAAAACATATTATGCGATGACTTTCCAATTAAATTCTAAGAATTTTCTATGCCAATAAATTTAATCGGTTTTTTAATACACATCTCCAGAATGAAGGCAAAATCGTGACATATTCGCTTCGCAAGTGCGCATTAATTTAAAGGGCTTTTCCGAAAATGGCGTAGTTATCGCTATGTTCAGCTTTGTAATAGTGCAAGAGTACTACGTAGCAGCATGGTCTTTCGGTTTTATGCCGCAACATATGCGATCGCGTCCAAGTCTAAACAACGTGTATTTTCTTTTTTTTGTGCATTGCATATATGAGCAAATTATAAGCCAATAATGCATCATTATCCGAGAACATATTAGAATTTTGTCAATCAATTAAGAATTCAGGACCGATATATAAACATACTGATAGTCAGGGGTAAAGCAGTAGAGAAAGAGACAGGTATAAGGAGCTGCAACGGCCTAGTGGGCATGCATTCAATCGATCATTATTATGCCTTCATCACTCGTTACAACTACGAGCAACTTTGGTCAAATCGTGTTGAGATTTGAACTCGCAGACACCGTCTTAGTACTTGCGATTCTTATCAGCTCGACTGCTTGACTATCTGGTGAGACTTTTTCAGACAATGCTCCAATTCTTAAGACAATATCAAAAACTAATGGACTCTGCTGGATATTCTCAAAAGAGAGACCATTCTTTCGAAGCGGAATTTCGAAACGGTTACGGTCGACAATATTTTGAATAGAAAAATTGTAATCACATTTCATATAATCATATCATTAGACTTCCTTAAATTAATGCACCGTCCTAGTGTTTATCTTAAGTCAGAGATTTTCAATCATTCTGCAAAAAAATAGGAGACTTTTCAACACCTGTGTAAGAGGTATTGTGGCCACATGCAAATTTGCATACCTTTATCCCTCCTGACGGCATGAAAAGTTTGCTCTTCTTCCTTTATGTTTATTTTTATTTTTTAATCATCTTTTCATCAATTCAAGTGGTCAAGCTTTACGTTTTCAGTAACATTGGGCGCTTGCATGTATTTTGATCATATTTTCACAACATAAGGGCGTTGAAAAAAGTAAGTACAACATGTATGGATCGAAATATTTCCCATCATTTTTTGCAACTTTTCCTCAACATAGCGATACCGTGTCGAAAGAACGAAGATTTCGAAACCGTAATCGTAAGCGGAAGGCGCTAAGCAAAAGAATGACTTTTCGTCTTTTAAACGGCGATTGGTGGTCTTTTTTGCAACAAAACATCGTTCAATCTGTTCAATTGACTTGGCTGGCCATCTGCAGTAACAGTTTTGTAATACACTACGACGTACTGATCTCACTATACGCACAACAAAACTTTATGGCCTTGAATGTTCCGCTTCGGTGTCCTGGACTAACCTATGGCTTTTTGCACTTTGGATTGCTGTAATAGTCCCCATCTTTTATCATCAGTCACAATACGCGAACCATTTTCTATCCTTTTGGGTCTTTCCAATCCCACGTAAACATCAAGTAACGCTTGATTCTTAAACTGCCAAGGTGCTCGCAAGTTTTTTGGGAGTTTGAGCTGGGCTTTCGTTCAGTCAGTTTTGCAGTTCCATTGTCTTTGGAATTTTCTGGTCCTCCAGGTCGTTCTTTGTCACTGACATCAAAACCAACACTTTTGATTGAGTTATGATGGAGCCGCATCACCATAAGCTTCTAAAAGTGTTTGATGGGTTTCGACAGCAAATTTCTTCAAATCAAATAATAAAAGTAATCGATGTCGAAAAAGCAATTTTAAAGCGTCTGTGTACGCTGACTAACTCAATAATAATAAATGGAAAATTGTTACTTTAGGTAGACAAGGGTCAAAATTATCGAATTTAACCATTGTGTATATTGACACTTCGCATTACTTTATCATTTTGACTTGAATAGATGCCGCTAATCAAAATACATGCAATCACCTACTAGTAAAACAAGAACTATGTGTCTCATCATTTTCGAACATCCGCTTTAATTAAAGAGCAGGAAACATCCGTCTGCAGTCGAGCACATTACTTTCTCATTTTAATTAATTTTCCTTTCCTTGATACGATTTTTATTACTTTTGATGTAAAATAAATTTTCCGTTTTCAATACTTGCGGTTTGCTCAGCATTTTAATATACTTTTATGCTTTTATTTACCTTAACGTTATTAAAGGTTTAGTCATAATATTGTTGGTATTATACTACTGTTTATCGCGTGTATACCTCCCATCGAATGGTTGAAGGTATAGTCATGATGCCAAAACTTTTGAAAATCTCAGACGCTATCTTTTGAGCTTCAATATAATCTATAATTTGTGTTACTGTTATGCATGCTCAACGCCCCGGCTGTCGGTCCATTCGTTCTTTTGTAGGCTCATCCGTATTTCTTTGCTAAATAATGTTTCGGTCGTAGATATTAAGTTGCTGGTTTTGAAAGTTTGTGAAAATATTGAAAGTTTTTGAATGCAGGTTACTCTTGAAAAGAGACCAAATGGGTTTAATGATAAACTGGGGATATCTTTATCATCAGCAACTGAGTAAATTGGTAACTCGGCAATTGAGTAACTGGTAAATTTGGCAACTGGTCAACTGTGTAACTGGGCAATTGGTCAACTGAGTAACTGGACCACTAAGAAACTGGACAACTTGGCAACTGGGAAATTGCGTCACTGGGCAATTTTGCAATTGAGTAATTCGACAATGTGGCAATTAGGCAACTTTGCAGCTTGTCAACTGAATAACTGGGCAACTTGGTAACTGCGTAACTGAGCAACTGAGTACATGGGCAATTGAGCAAAT